TATCCCATGCTCTTGGGTAGGAAGAATTGTCAAAATGGCCATCCTGCCTAAAAAAATCTACAGATTCAATATAATCTCTATAAAAATACCAAAGAGCTAGAACAAATAGTTCTAAAATTCATATGGAATCATAAAAGACCCTGAGGAGCCAAAGCTATACTGAGAAGAAAGAAAGCTGGGGGATTTTCCCCCCTAACTACTACAAAGCTCTACTTCAAAGCTGCAGTGATCAAAACAGTTTTGTACTGGCATAAGAACAGACCCATACATCAGTGGAACAGAGTAGAGAGCCCAGATATAAACCCACACATATATGGTCAATTAATATATAATAAAGGAGCCATGGGTATACAATGGGGAAAAGATGGCCTCTTCAATAACTTTTATTGGCAAAACTGGACAGCTGTAAGTAAGAGAATGAAACTAGATTATTGGTTTCTCCATAGAGAAAAGTAAACTTGAAATTGATCGAAGACCGAATGTAAGTCATGAAACCATAAAACTCACAGAACGAAACAGGGAAAAATCTCTTGAATATAAACATGAGTAACTTTTTCCTGAACACATCTCAGGGAAGGGATAGAAAATAAACTAACAAATGGAACTACATCAAACTAAAGAGCTTCTGTATAGCAAAGGACACCAGCAGAAGAACAAGGCATCCTACAGCACGGGAAAATGTATTTGTAAATAACTTATCTGATAAGGGGTTAACATCCAAAATATATAAGGAACTCACATGCCTCCACACCCAAAAGCTAATAATCCAATTAAAAAATGGGCAGAGGGTCTAAACAGACACTTCTCCTAAGTAGGAATCCAGACGGCCACCAGGCCCATGAGAAGATGCTCCACATCACTAATCATCAGGGAAACGCAGATTAGAATCACAGTGAGATACAACCTCACACCAGTAAGGACGGTCAGCATCGAAAAGATGAGGAACAATAAATGCTGGTGTGGATGCAGAGAAAGGGGAGCCCTCCTACACTGTTAATGGGAATGTAAATTGTTTCAACCATTGTGGAAAGCAGTATGGAGGTTCCTCAAAAAAAAGTAAAAATAGAAATGCCATTTGACCCAGTGTTTCCACTCCTAGGAATTTACCTCAAGAAAACAAGATACCTGATTCAAAAAGACATGTGCACCCCTATGTTTATTGCATCACTATTCACAATAGCCAAGACATGGAAGCAACCTGAGTTTCCATCAGTAGATGAATGGATAAAGAAGATGTGCTACATATATCCAATGGGATATTTTTCAGCTATTAGAAGAAAACAAATATTACTATTTGCAACAACATGGATGGAACTAAGGATAATATGCTCAGTGAAATAAGCCAGGCGGAGAAAGGCAAGTGCCAAATTATTTCTCTCATTTGTGGAGTATAACAACAAAGCAAAATTGAACAAACAAAACAGCAGCAGACTCACAGACTCTAGTAGGGTATGGATTTCAGAGGGTAGGTGGAGAGGGCGGGAGAAGGGGATTAAAGGGCATATGATTAGCACGCATCATGTAGGTGGCTTGTGGGGAAGGCAGTATAGCATGGAGAAGACAAGTAATGAGTCTATAGCATCTTACTATGGGAATAGACAGTGACTGCTGTGGTGGGGGTGAGAACTTGATAATGTGTATGAATGTTGAAACCACTATGTTGTTCATGTGAAACTTTCATAAGATTGTTTATCAGTGATACTTTACTAAGAAATGTAGACAATAGATTTGAATAGACATTTCCCCAAAGATATACATAGGTCCAGTATGTATATAAAAATATTCCCAACATTTTTAGTCATCAGGGTGATGCAAAGCAGAGTCACAATAATACCAGTGTATACTCATCAAGATGAGTAGAATCGAGAAGTCAGAAAAAGTGCAAGTTGTCGGTGATGATGTGCATCCTCATGTGTTGCTGATGGAATGAAAATGGTGCTGTGTAACAAATTTTGTATGTTAATGTGAAATTTAGAGTTGCCATATGACCCAGCAAATTTACTAGTAGTTTTATACCCAAGAGGATTAGATACTATATGTTCACAGAAAAATTTGTATCTGAATGTTTATAGCAGCATTATACATAATAGCCAAAAAGTGGGAACAGCCCAAATATCCATCAGATGATAAATCAGTAAACAAAATGTGTTTATTCATGCAATTAGTCAGTCATAAAAAGGAATGAAGTATGGATTCATGCTACCATGTGGATGAACTTTGAAAACCTAATGTGAAATAAAATAAGCCAGCCACAAAAGACCACATGTAATATGATTCTGTTTATATGAAGTGTGTCAAACTGGCCAATCCATAGAGACAGAAAGTAGATTAGTAGTTTCCTAGTGCTGGAGAGAGGGGAGATGGGGAGTGACTGCTAATGAGTACAGGATTTCTTTTTGGGGTGATGCAGATATTCTGGAATTAGATAATTGCACAACTGTGTATGTACTAAAAATGATTGAATTGCATAATTTTAAATGGTGAATTTTATGATGTGTGAATTATGTCTTTCTTCTAACAGAAAAATACTCTTTCTAGCATAACTTTGATAACCAAAGCTTTTTATCAGAAAGGAAAATATAGATCACTAAGGAGTGCCGAGAAGTCCTAAACCAAATATTGTTATGCATATTGAATCTCGTGATCCAAACATCTGGCAATACTTCACAACCAAGTTAGGTTTGTTTCAGTATTGTAACGTTGGTTTAACATGTGAATATGAAATCAATGTTATTTATCAACTAAGATGAATAAAGATGAAAAATCATGTAATTGTCTCACTCAATAAAGGAAAAATATTTGAAGTTCACCACCCATTCTTGATAAAACTAGTGAACTGGGAATGAAAGAGAGCATTCTTACAGATATAAGGAATCTGCCAAAAATACTGTAGTAAACATCATATTTAATGGTGAATGTGGAGAGCTTTCCTTATGAAATTGGGCGTGAGATAAGAAAGACTGCTATCATTATTTCTATTCAACATTGTACTTGAGATCCTAGCCATCACAGAATGACAAAAATAGGACATAAAATTTATAAGGCTTGGAGAAGAAGAAATAAATATGCCATTATTCACAGATGACAAGTATATATATTTAGGAAATCTGGAAGAATCTATGGAGAAATTATTGGAATTATTAAATGAATTAAAGTTGCTGGATACAAGTTCAGAATACAAATTAAGCAGTAACAGATCATTAAAAAGAAAACTTTTAAAACAACTGCCATTTATTTTTAGGGTTAAATTTAATAAAACATGTGCAAGACCTCTACACAGAAAACTATAATACATTATTGAGAGACAATGAATAAGATATAAATGAATGAAGATGTTTATCTGTTCATAGACTAGAAAAGTCAATATTATGAAAATGTTAGTTTTCTTCCAGTTGATCCAAAGAACTGAAATTGCAATTAAAATTCCAGTTTTTTCCCTGTGAAATTAACAAGCTGATTCTAAAATTTGTATGGAAAGGCAAAAGACTGTAATTAGCCTATATATCTTTGTGGTTAAAGATGTAGTTGAAGGATTTACTCTGTGTTTTGAGTTTTGTTTTAGAGCTACAGCAATGTAAGATAGTTTGGAATTGGTACAAGAATAGGTAAAGAAACCAATATATTAGAGAAGAAACTCCAGAAATAGACCGTTGGTCTAAAGAACATAAAGTTGTAGAATATCTTTCTGTCCTTATAGTAAGGAAAGATTGCTTAAAAATGACACAAACAATATCAGTGTTTAGGTAAAAGAAGTATAGGTTAGACTATTGTAGAATTAGGGAGTTCTGTCTGTCAATACAAAAATCAACAGTAACAGAACATGAAATAGATTCCATCCCATCAGGAGAGTGAAAAGGCAAGTTACATGTGTGACCAAGAAAAGGCTGATATCCAAAACATGAAAAACTCCTACACATCAAAAAGAGACAGATAACCCTCTAGAAAAAATGCCGAGTCTTCAGTAGGCATTCTCAAAAGGACAATAGCCAGAAGCATTTGAACGGGGCTGAAAATCATCAGTAATCAGAAATACATATTGAAATAAAAATGAAACCATTCTATAACTGTCAACAAGAATGTCCTCAGGTTAAAAAGAAAACCCAAAATGTACAATAGCCAAGGGTAAGTTAGGCTATGGAGCAAGGAGAATGCATGTATACCGTTCGTGGGAGTGGCAACCATGTTGGAAAACAATTTGATAATATCGTTATGTGCTAAATTGGAGCGTGTGCTTACCCTATGACTCAGCATTTCCACTCTTGGGCTTATACTGAACAGAAAGGCATACATATGTGCTGAGGATGTGTCCCCATGAATAACAGCATATAATTTGTAATATCCAAAATTTGGACATCAACCAAATGTTCATCAACATTAGATTGGATAAATATATATGCAGTAATAGAATGCTGTTCAGTAGTGACATTAGACAATGACAATAAATGAATTGCAGGTACATTGTGCAATATGGATGAACTAGTAAACAAATGTACAAAGAAGCCACAAAATAATACATAGTCTGTGAATTCATTTTTACGGATTTCAAAATCAGACAAAATAAACTCCAACGTCAAAGAAAACAGTGGTTACCCTGGAGCAGAGATGGCACAGTGATTGGAAGGGAACACCTGAGAATTTTAGAGACCAGCATTATTATATGTATGTTTTTTTGTCTTGGATGGTGGTTGCATGGGTGTTGCTTTGAAATACTTGATCTTTCATTACGTTTTTCTGTTATTAAATTTTAAAAAAGGTTAAAAGAATGGTCATTTGGGAGGTCTTGAGAAGGAATAGCTATACCATCCTCTTAGTCTTTACGTTCTCAGCTTTACTAATTTCTTAACAAACAATGAAAACCACCCCAAAAAAAACTAAATCAGTAGATTTTGCTGCTTCCAACAAGAAGTGTAATGTAAGAATTGTAAATTACTAAGTCCTTCACTCCAAATTCTTGTCTTGAAATTTCCAGAATGAACTTAATGTTTGCTGTTTTGAATTAGGAGGTGTTAATGATGCTGGATAACTATGTAAGAGATTTCAAAGCACTGATTGACTGGATTCAACTTCAGGAAAAGCTGGAGAAGACAGATGCTCAAAGCAGGTAATGTATTTATAGCAGCTGCCAGTTTCAAAAGCATTCACTAAAATTGACAATGAACTTGACCTCAGTTTAATCTGAAGCTTGTAAAAACCTTAAATTTGGGAGCTGTGTTTCTCATTCAATTCAGTAACAGATATTTATTGGGTGCCTACTAACACAAGGCACTGTTATCCAGTACAGAAATTGTATTGCTGAATGTGATACATTTACTGATGTCATGAATTTATAGTCTAAGGGTGGGCTAAAATACAATTTATTACTATAAAAAACTGTTATAAGTGTTCAGAGAACTACTGGGTCATATCTCTTGTGGGAGACAGGAAAGATTTCATGGAGAATGCAGTAGTGTTTAAAAGATGTGATGGATTTTAACAAGTGGTTGGCCTTTCAGATGAGGGGAGTAAATTATCACAACTCTGGAAGAGCAGAGAATGTGTGAAGTGAAAGTAATAAAGGGAAAGGTATAGCATTTCTTATTAATATAGTGAGCAGTGAGGAAAATTCATGGTTTTTGATTAAGGAATGAGAAGAGATCAAAGCTACTTTAGAAACCTTCATTTGGCATCAGGATACCACTATTTGAGTACTGTCTGCCAGGCTCAGACACTATTTGTGCTGAAGAAAAGAGTCTCTGTGCCCTCATAAAGTGTATACAGTGCATTCATAGGAAAGACTGATGTTAAATACTTATCAGTGTGTAAAGTGTCATCAAAAAGAAAGAAGTATACTCTAGGAGCATAAAACAAAGTTCCATCAACCAGTTTGCTGAGTCCAGAAAGGTTTCTGTGAGGTAGTTATATTTAAGTGAGTTGAGAGATATTCAGAGATAGACAATCATAGATAATCAACTGGGCTTAGTATTATTTCAGTAATGTACAAAGGCAAAAGAACAACTTATTATTTAGTTTAGATTTATAAGTGAAATCTGAGCCCTTGTGAGCTGTGCCAAGTCACATGAAGCTACAGTGATGCCTTTTTTACCCAGAGAAAACAGGCCTAGGCTGCCTGTTCCCTTGGATTTAACCCTTGGATCGGTCTCAGTAAGGGGAACCATCCACTAGAGGATGAATTCTTTGTCCCATGCATCAGTGCCATGGGAGAACTAAGAGAGTGAAAATTTCCTCAGAGGCAAATCCAGGAAGACCTGATCCTCTGGGAACCAAATCTAGGGAAACCATAATACATCGATCTTTTTAACATTTTTATTTCTCATGAAAGTTTTGAGTATCTTTTTGGTGCTGACATTATCCACAATCCATGGGTGGGTCAGGACTAGTTGTTTTGTCCTTGTTTGTATCAAGCAGTTTCATCTTTACCCCTGATAATATGTAGTTAGATCTGGGAGGTGCATCCCTTCATTGGGTTGAAACAGGCTAAGAGAGCATCATGCAGAGAGGATTAAAGATGGTGGCGTGGGAGGTGAGACAGAGGCTTCCTCCTAAAACCGCATATAATATGAAAATATAGTTAATACAGCTAATCTTGAAAGAGCAACAGGAAAGATGACTGCACCAGACTGCACACACCTGGAGAAAAGAGCAGACCTCATGGAACAGGGTAACGTACCAAAGCTGTGGCCCAGCAGGACCCGAGCCCTTCCCCCACCCAGCTCATCAGTGGGAGGAAGAGAAACGGAGTTGGGAGGGAGTGGAGGCCTGGGACTGCTGAATACTTAACTCTGGTGATGTGCACTAGGAGCACAAACCTACATTTCATGGTGCTTACATGGTACTCTTGTGATTAGGGCTTTGGGAAGCTAAGACAGGCAGAATTTCTTGGAGAGACTGAGATTCTAGCCACTGGTGGAAAGCAAGGATCCATATCTGGCTGCTCTGGGAAAAAAGAAAGGTGGGCAGTCTGAGAAACTTCCAACAAGCAAGCCCTTAGCAAGAGGGCTGCTAAAGGGGCAAGGATTGCATGGAGATTACTGCTCAGGAGAAAGGACAGGTAGACAAAACTGTCCGGGTGCACTCTGCCCAGCAGGTTGGGAGCATTCACGATCTTCAGGTGCTCCAGCTCCCTGGCTGGGTACACAACTCCAAGGCGCCCCTCCGTGATAGGCAGCCTAGTGCGCCTTTCCTCCACCAGCCCCACCTGACGTGCAAACCAGCAAACCCTACCCTTGCATTAGGCCAGCCACAGGGAAGATCTGTCTACAGCAACTACAAACGCAAAGCAGAGAGGCTTATACCTGTGTGCTCGGCCCACTGGTTCAGGCAGTGGAGACAAGCATAGCGGCTGGGAAGCGGGAAACAGCTCTTTACTCCTCCCAGGCACCAATACCACTCCACTGTGACCCCCGACATTGCTTCACGGGCTGAGCAGCTCGAGAGTAGAGCTTGTGGACAGTAGAGGGCGTCATATACAAATATGAAACGCCAAAGGAACCTGGTTCAAAGTAAAATTATTAAATCAAATCCCGAGAAAGATTTAAATGACATCAACCTTATGAATCTTCCTGAAAGGGATTTCAAAATATAAATCATTGACATTCTCATGGAGGTACAGGAGGATATTCAAGAACTCAGGAATGAATTCCGGTTGGAGATCCAATCATTGAAGAGCACAATGGAGGGTATTAAAAGCAGAATAGATATGGTGGAGGAGACGATAAATGAAATAGAAACTAGAGAAGAGGAATACAAAGAAGCTGAGGCACAGAGAGAAAAAAGGATCTCTAAGAATCAAAGAATATTGAGAGAACAATGTGGCCAATCCAAGTGGAACAATATTCTCAATATAGGGGTACCAGAAGAAGAAGAAGAAGAGAGAAAGGGATAGAAAGTGTCTTTGAGGAGGTAGTTGCTGAAAACTTCCCCAATCTGGGGTAGGAGATAGTCTCTCAGGCCATGGAGATCCACAGATCCCCCAACACAAGGGACCCAAGGAGAACAACATCAAGACACAAAGTAATTTAAATGGGAAAGATCAAGGATAAGGACAGACTGTTAAAAGCAGCCAGAGACAGAAATAAGATCACATACAAAGGAAAACCCATCAGGCTATTATCAGACTTCTCAGCAGAAACCTTACAGGCCAGAAGGGAGTGGTATGGTATGTTTAATGCAATGAAGTAGAAGGGCTTGAACCAAGATTACTTTATCTGGCAAGATTATTGTTTAAATTTAAAGGAGGGACTAAACAATTTCCAGATGCCTCCCACAAACCATCTCTACGTTGTATTTCGGAGGGACTGCTGTAGATGGAAGTGTTCCTAAGGTTTAATAGCTGTCACCTGACGTAATAAATCCACGGTAAAAAAAAAGCAGAAGAGTTAACTACTACGCAAATGTAAAATTAAATTACCTATCCCCAAAGTCAATCAAGGGATAGACAAAGAGTACAGAATATGATACCTAATATATTAAGAATGCAGGAGGAAGAAAGAGGAGGAGGAAAAAAAAGATTTAGATTGAGTTTGTAATAGCATATTAAGTGAGTTAAGTTAGACTCTCAGATAGTAAGGAAGTTAACCTTGAACCTTTGGTAACCATGAATGTAAAGCCTGCCATGGCAATAAGTACATGCCTATCGATAATCACCCTAAATGTAAATGGACTGAATGCACCAATCAAAAGACATAGAGTCACTGAGTGGATTAAAAAACAGGGCCCAACTATATGCTGCCTACAAGAGACTCACTTTTAAACCCAAAGACATACACACACTAAAAGTGAAGGGATGGAAAAAGATATTTCATGCAACTAATAGGAAGAAAAAAGCAGGAGTTGTAGTACTTGTTTTGGAAAAAATATACTTGAAAACAAAGAAAGTCACAAGAGACAAAGAAGGACATTACATAATGATGAAGGGGTCAATCCAAGAAGAAGACATAACCGTTATAAATATCTATACGCACAACACAGGAGCACCTACATATGTGAAACAAATACTAACAGAATTAAAAGGGGAAATAGAATGCAGTGCATTCATTCTAGGACACTTCAACACTCCACTCACTCTGAAGGACAGATCTACCAGACAGAAAATAAGTAAGGACACAGAGGCACTGAACAATGCATTAGAACAGATGGACCTAACAGACACCTACAGAACTCTACACCCAAAAGCAGCAGAATTCACATTATTCTCAAGTGCACATGGAAAATTTTCAAGAATAGATCATATACTAAACCAGAAAAAGAGCCTTGGTAAATTCAAAAAGTTTGAAATTGTACCAACCAGTTTCTCAGACCACAATAGTATGAAACTAGAAAAAAATTAAGCAAAGAAAATGAAAAAGCCCAAAACACATGGAGGCTCCCCAACATGATCCATGGCTAAATAATCCATGGATCAATGACCTAATAAAAACAGAGATCAAGCAATATATGGAGACCAATGACAACAGTAATTCAACACTGCAAAACTTGTGGGATGCAGCGAAAGCCATGCTAAGAGGAAAGTATATTCCAATACACGCCTACCTCAGGAAAGAAGAACAATCCCATATGAACAATCTGAACTCACAATTAATGAAACTAGAAAAAGAAGAACAAGTGAGGCCCAAAGTCAGTAGAAGGAGACATAATAAAGATTAGAGCAGAAATAAAACTGAGAAGAATAGAACAATAGAACGAATCAATGAAAGCAAGACCTGGTTCTTCGAGAAAATAAACAAAATAGATAAACCCCTAGCCAGACTTATCAAGAGAATAAGAGAGTCTATTCACATAAACAGAATCAGAAATGAGAAAGGAAAAATTACTATGGATACCACAGAAATACAAAGAACTATTAGAGAATACTATGAAAAACTATATGTTAACAAACTGGATACCTAGAAGAAATGGACAACTTTCTGGAAAAATACAACCTTCCAAGGCTGACCCTGAAAGAAACAGAAAATCTGAAAAGACCAATTACCAGCAATGAAATTGAACTGGTAATAAAAAACCTACCTCAAAACAATAACACTGGACCAGATAGCTTCCCTGCTGAATTTTATCAGACATTTAGTGAAGATCTAATATCTGTCCTCCTTAAAGTATTCCAAAGAGTTGAAGAAGAGGGAGTACTTTCAAACTCATTCTAAGAGGCCAGCATCACTCTAATACCAAAAAGAGGGAAAGACAACACCAAAAAAGAAAACTATTACAGACTAATACTTTTATGAACATAGATGCAAAAATACTCAACAAAATATTAGCAAACCAAATTCAAAATACATCAAAAAGATCAACCATCATGATCAAGTAGGATTTATTCCAGGGATGCAAGGATGGTACAACATGGAATATCCATGAAAATTGTGCACCACATCAACAGAAAGGATAAAAACCACATGATCATCTCCATAGATGTTGAAAAAGCATTTGAAAAAATTCAACATCCATTCACGATAAAAAGTCTCAATAAAATGGTTATAGAGGGCAAGTACCCCAACATAATAAAGGCGATATATGACATACCCTGAGCCAACAGTATACTCAACAGTGAGAAGCTGAAAGCTTTTCCTTTAAGATTGAGAACAAGACAAGGATGCCCACTCTCCCCACTTCTATTCAACATAGTTCTGGAGGTCGTAGCCATGGCAATCAGATGACACAAAGAGATAAAAGGCATCCAGATTGGCAAGAAGAAGTCAAAGTGTCCCTGTTTGTAGATGACATGATACTGTACATAGAAAACCGGAAAGAATCCACTCCAAAACGACTAGATCTAATATCTGAATTCAGCAAAGTTGTAGGATACAAAATTAATATGCAGAAATCTGTGACATTCCTGTACACTAACACTGAACTAGCAGAAAATCAGGAAAACAATTCCATTCACAAGTGCATCAAAAAGAATAAAATGCCTAGGAATATACCTAACCAAGGAAGTGGAAGACCTGTACTCTGACAAACTATAAACACTCATGAGAGAAATTAAAGAAGATAGCAATAAATGGAAACCCATCCCGTTCTCATGGATAAGAATTAATATTGTCAAAATCGCCATCCTGCCTAAAGCAATCTACAGATTCAATGTAATTCCTATCAAAATATCAACAGTATTCTTCAACAAACTAGAGAAAATCTTTGTAAAATTCATATGGAACCACATAAGACACTAAATGGCCAAAGCAATCCTGAGAAGGTAGAATAAAGCTGGGGGGATTATGCTTCCTAACTTCAAGCCCTACTATAAAGCCACACTAATCAAGACAATCTGGTACTGGTGCGAGAAGAGACCCATAGACCAATGGAACAGACTAGAGAGCCCAGATATAAACTCAACCATATATGGTCAATTAATATGTGATAAAGGAGCCATGGACATACAGTAGTGAAATGACAGCCTATTCAACTGGTGATGTTGGCAAAACTGGGCAGCTACATGCAAGAAATTGAAACTGGATTATTGTTTAACCCCATACACAAATGTAAACTCAAAATGGATCAAAGACCTGAATGTAAGTCATGATACCATAGAACTCTTAGAAGACAGCATAGGTAAAAATGTCTAAATATAAGCATGAGCAACTTTTTCCTGAACACATCTCCTTGAGCAAGGTAAACAAAAGCAAAAATAAACTCATGACACTACATCATACTAAAAAGTTTCTGTATGGCAAAGGACACCATCAACAGAACAAAAAGGCGTCCTATAGTATGGGAGAATGTATCTGTAAATGACAGATCAGACAAGGGTTAACATCCAAAATATATGAAGAACTTACACGCCTCAACACCCATAAAGCATATAACCTGATTAACAAATGGGCAGAGGATATGAAGAGACAATTTCTCCAAAGAAGAAATTCAGATGGCCAACAGCCACCTGAAAAAATGCTCCACATCACTTATCATCAGGGAAATGCAAATTAAAGCCACAATGAGATATCACCTCACACCAGTCAGGATGGCCAGCATTGAAAAGAGTAAGAACAACAAATGCTGGTGAGGATGTGTTGAAAGGGTAACCCTCCTACACTGCTGGTGGGAATGTAAGCTAGTTCAACCATTGTGGAAAGCAATATGGAGATTCCTCAAAAAACTAAAAATAGAAATACCATTTGATCTGGTAATCCCACTCTTTGGAATTTACCCAAAGAATACAGCTTCTCAGATTCAAAAAGACTTATGCACCCCTGTTTTTATTGCAGCACTTTTTACAGTAGTACGGATATGGAAGCAACCTAAGTGTCTATCAGTAGATGAATGGATAAAGAAGATGTGGTACATACACAATGGAATATTATTCAGCCATAAGAAAGAAACAAATCCTACCATTTGCAAGAACATGGATGCTGTTGGAGGACATTATGCTAAGTGAAATAAGCCAGGCGGAGAAAGACAAGTGCGAAATGATTTCCCTCATTTGTGGAGTATAATAACAAAGTAAAACTGAAAGAACAAAATAGCATTCTCAGAGACTCCAAGAAGGAACTAGTGGTTACAAAAGGGGAGGGGTGTGGAAGCTTGGTTGGGAAGGGTGGCAGAAAGGGATTGAGGGGTATTATGTTTAGTACACATGGTGTGTGGTATCATGGGGCAGACAGTGTAGCACAGAGAAGGCAAGTAGTGAATCTGTGGCATCCTATACACTGATGGACAGTGCCTACTTTGGGGGTATGGGTGTCAACTTAATAATATGGGTAAATGTAGTAACCACTATGTTTTTTCATGTGAAACCTTCATAAGAGTGTATATCAGTAATACCTTAATAACGAATTAAAAGAAAGAAAAGAGAGCATCATGCTGATTTGTCATTGATGGCTGTATTGCCCTTGTGAAGCAGCGGAAAGCATATTCAAAGAAAATAGCCCCGTTTAGATTAGCAGGGTAACGCTGCAGAGGATGTAAAATCCTGGACCACATAATTTGTAATGCTTACTAGTAACTTTCTGCTGAACAGTGTTCTAGGAAAAAATTGTGACTGATGATATTTTTATCCTCTAACCAAGAAAACAGACTAGGTTCTGCCCCTACCCCCAACCTTTTCTTTGTTAATTTAATCTGTGTACGTCTTCAATTCACAGACCAACTTCACTGGCATGGGAAGTAAAGAAGATGTCTCCAGGACGTCATGTGATTCCAAGTCCATCAACAGATAGAATAAATGTAACATCAAATGCTCGAAGAAGCTTAAATTTTGGGTGAGATAAACTCAGCCTTCTAAAGCTTGCCTTATAGTAAATTATTTTCTGTGGATAATATACTTATAATATTATAAAATTAATATCCCACTTTAAAAATATCCATGCATATATGTATATGTTTGAAACTGAATGGTTAAAATAATTTGAGAAGAGTAATATTGAAGATATGTAATATAGTCAAACATAGTTAACATTTGAAAACTTATATCCTAAATTTAAAATACATAAACATATTTCATGCTAAATGTTTCATAACCACAAATGTCAATTTCAGAACAGATGACCTAAATATATATAATAAACGTGTTATTTTTATACAAATTATAACTTTATATATTATAATCTCATCAACACAGTTTCATAGTTGTTTTATGCAGATGTCTTTTAAATCAGATAGGAGAAGAAAAAAGGTATAAGGAAAAATGCATTTATATTGTCTTCTGTATTTACCTATGTAGTTATGTTTACTAGTGCTCTTTATTCATCTGGGCTTCCTTGAAGGCAGTTTCAATTACTGTTCTTAATTTTGTGCATGTGGATCGGCCATTTCCCTGTTTGTGTATGCTTGTGTTTGCTTGTGTTTTTTTCATTGAAAACTGTGTATTTTTGATAATGTAATATAATAAGGCAGTTCTGGAGATCAGATTGCTACCTTTTCCAGGTTTTTTTGCTGTGGCCCTTTGGTGGTAGTTTGTTGTGTCAGAATTTAGTGACTTTCTTGAACTAGTTTTCTGAAGTCTGTGTTCTGTATCGTGTGTAGGCACTAATGTCTCTTCCCAGTTATCTTAGTTGTCAACTAATGGCTTGACAGAGGCTTCTTTAAATGCCTTGAACCAGTGAATCTCCTAACTCTCATTTAGTTCTTTGTATGTGTTGGGCATACCTTTAATGCTTAGGCAGTTTACAATTGTGCCTTTGCTGTCACTTTCTGCTTCATTAGGGCCTCAAGGCCAGCCAGAGGTGATAGATTAGGTACCTCTCAGATCTTTCCTGAGCATGGACAGAGCCCTGCATGTGTGTGTGTGTGGCCTTCTTGATTTCCAGGAATATAGTGGAGCTTTCTAATGTCCTTTATGGATATCTCATTCTCTAACATTTCCTTTTAAGTCTTTGGTCAGCCCCTTGTTTGCCCTAGATGTTAGTGCCACCTTGGGAATATGATGTTAAACAATCATCACTATTTTCCTCAAATGTTCCTGGGGAAATTTATTTGTAAGATAAAAAGTTGTTCAGACTGTATGGATCCTTTAGAGCGGTCTTAACATTTGATGTGTACGGGAGGGTTGGTAAATAGTTTTCTTGACCTATTTTCTTTCCTTTGTTAAAACCTAACTTTTGTGACTGCTGCTCATCCCCTTGCCATGTGACAGTCATTTTCATCTGTTATTACTTCTGAACCTTGCATATACTTGCATTATTACATTTGCAATGCATTATAACTTAATGTTTATTATTTGTACTTAAATTATTAGCTTCTTCAAGGCAAGATCTTTGTCATTTCTTCTGTATCTCAAGCACTTTCAGTGTAGTTGTCATTTAGTAAGAGCACTCATTACATGTTATTCAGTAGAAACAAATTTTTGCTTTCAAATAAGGTAGATAGTATTGCCTTAGTTGAAAGTTGTTGGACTTTGGAACCTTTTAATAATTGGACTTAGGGAAAGATGTGTGAGTAAACAGAACCAAATGTTTACAGTCAAGTAGCATTATAAGGAGAGTACCCTCTAGTACATTCCATTGGTCTTTGGTTCAGAGACGTGCATCATTTCAACACTGGAAGCCTTTAGTGTATGCATGATAAAAGTTCTTGACAGAGCTCCATCTAATTGTATCATAGGATTGACACTCTTTATTATAATTGTAAAACATAGTCGAATTTTTGTTTCCATCATGCTGAAAATTATGTCTCAAAGG